ATGAAAATTAGCTGGGTGTAGTGGTGTGTGCCTGTAGTCCCAGTTACTTGGGGGGCTGAGGCAGAAGGACTGCTTGAACCCAGGAGTTTGAGGCTGCAGTGAGCTATGATTGTGCCACTGTACTCAAGCAATAGAAACCCTGTCTCAAAAAAATCAGTTAGGGCCAGGCACGGTGGCTCAGCCCTGTAATCCTAGCACTTTGGGAGGTTGAGGTGGGCAGATGAAGAGGTCAGGAGTTTGAGACCAGCCTGGCCAACATGACGAAACCCGGTCTCTACTAGAAATACAAAAATTGGCCAGGCGCCGTGGCTCACGCCTGTAATCCCAACACTCTGAGAGGCCGAGGCGGGTGGATCACCTGAGGTTGGCAATTTGAGACCAGCCTGACCAACATGGAGAAACCCTGTCTCTACTAAAAATACAAAATTAGCCAGGCGTGGTTGCCCATGCCTATAATTCCAGCTACTCAGGAGGCTGTGGCAGGAGAATCGCTTGAACCTGGGAGGTGGAGGTTTCGGTGAACCGAGATCATGCCATTGCACTCCAGCCTGGGCAACAAGGGTGAAACTCCATCTCAAAATAAAATTAAATTTAAAAAATTAGCCAAGTGTGGTGGTTCGTGCCTATAGTCCCAGCTACTTGGGAGGCTGAGGCAGGAGAACAGACTGAACCTGGGGGGTGGAGGTTGCAGTGAGCCGAGATTGCCCCACTGCACTCCAGCCTGGGTGACAGAGCAGGACTCTGTCTTGAAAAAAAAAAAAAAAAAAAAATTAGTTATGATGCCAATCTGATAAAGCACACCTGTCATATGGCAGAAAAGGACAGACTCAGCTCAAGGCAGTTCCTTGCATCATAAAACACCTGGGACCTAACCCAGACAGGAAAGTTACATTCCAAAAATTCCTCCTTTGCTGACCCCTCCCACCCATACCCATACACACCTGCATCTGCCTCTTAGAGGGTAGCTGGATAACGGCTGTGCCATTCACCTTCCGCAGTAGCACACCACATGTCCCTGGGGAAAGAAGCCAATTTGACCCCCTCCACGAAACAAGGATATTGAGGGTCACAGGGGACATACCCCACATGTTGCCCTTGCTTTGCTCTTTAGGAGCAGATACACAAAGGATACATGCTATGTTTTAAGTCAAAACACACGCACATCTTCATCCTCATGTTTCTTGTTTTTTCCTTGATTTTCTCTTCCAGTTCCAGATGCAGAACCGTAGGTTCAGACTCTCCTTGCCTTTCCAAACTCTAGGACCCAGGTAACTCCCTTCCCCATACCTGCAGCCCGGATATACTGGGCACCCCGGCCTGGCTCACTTTCCACGTTGTTGATGAGGGTCCCCACAGGCAAAGACCCAAGAGGATGCGCATCCCCTTCCCGAGCAGCAACTAAAAGACAGGATTTCATTAGCAATAAAACCTTTGCTGCCTCCAGCCCACACATCTGGTAGCCATCTCTCACCTGCCATTCGGCCTATGTGGTTAGAGTTCAAGATTCTATCTCCAGCCTGCATGTTTTCTGTTGCGATGATCCAGCGTTTCCGGCTGCCCCCAGCAACCAGAGCTATGTCTGCTGACCTGATTAGAGTGAGGGACAGGTAAACAGACCATCTTGGAAGCCCACATCCTCTGAGAAGCTATGCAGTTATTCAGACCATCCTATCATCGTCCCATATCCCAAACTTGCCTACAGGGATCATAGCGGACTTGGATAACCTTCTCCTCAAAAGGTCCTGAGTCGGTCTCCTCAGGCCGGAAACGCAGAAAGTCAATCATTCGATAACGCTGCCTGTGGCCCCCGCCAATACCATGTACCCGGATTCGGCCTGTGGTTCAGAACAGTCGGGGATATGATTCAGGTCAGGGTAGCTCAGTTTTCAGTACTGGGAACTGGCCCATTCTCTGCCAGAGAACGGTGCTTAACACTGTGGCACAAGCAGAAAATGAGAAAAATTTGCACAGCACACTAGAGTAAGGAGGGGCAATACCAACATGAAGCTTCATGAAAAAACATTATATCTTTACTGAAATTGTATAAAACTTCCACATAAAATATTTTCAAATTATCGAACTCAGTAAGTTTACTGAGAGCCATATAAATCATACTCAGATAATTTCAACTGTTAAAATTTTTTTTGTGTACATGTGATGGGATATCACTCTTGCCCAGGCTGGATCCTGACCTCAAGTAATCTTCCTGCCTTGGCCTTCCAAAGTGTTGGGATTATAGGCAGGAGCCACCAAACGTGGCCTGTCATAATTTTTTTTTTTTTTTTTTTTTTTT